TATTATATTTTGGAATATGGTAATATTGTATATTAGATTGTAATATATACTTAAATATATAAACGGCTATGTATTATAATATCTGATATTACACTCTGGAATAGGGCAATTTCTCTATCATTTTTCATCGTAATATATTCCGCATTATGCTAATGCTGTATATTTTCTGTAACTTATTATAGAATATGATAATGGCTATATAATATATTTCCTGTTAATATATTCTTGAATATAGTAATGTCTTCTTAATATGATTTCAAGTCATATAATCGGAAATATGGTCATGCCTATATATTCGTTAGTAAGATAATCAAGAATAAGGTAATATTTATATAATATACTGTCTGTTAATAGATTCTGGATTATAAAATAATCTGAAACATGAAAATATCTATATCTATCTATCTATCTATCTATCTATCTATATATATATATATATATATATATATATATATATATATATATATATATCTATCTATATTTTCTATCTATCTATCTATCTATATATATATATATATATATATATATTATATCTATCTATATATATATCGATCTATCTCTCTCTCTCTCTCTCTCTCTATATATATATATATATATATATATATATATATATATATATATATATATATGTATATAACTTGTTTTACATTCTGGAATATCATAAGATCTATCTGTCTATCTATCTATCTCTCTCTATCTCTCTCTCTCTCTATATATATATATATATATATATATATATATTTCTGGCATATGGTAATGTCTATATGTTTTGAATATATCTTCTGATATGTTTATATATATATATATATATATATATATATATATATATATATATATATATATATATATATATAATGTCTTCTGGAAAAATCTATGTATTTCATTATATACAGAATACGATGGGCAAATTGTCACTATTTAATATTTTTAATTTCCTGCATGCTCGTTTATCTAGTCGTGGTATCTGGGTAAAAATATCGTCAAAGCAGCTGTCATGAAAATATTTGTAGAAATGACAGAAAGTGACTGAAGACGCGATACTAGGTCAGGACCGATTACATTGCAGATCTTTCTTTGGATTTTGTCGAGGTTAATATTAGTGATATCAGATGAGATATGACAACAGTATTCGATGCAAATAGTAGATTTTATATTATATATATATATATATATATATATATATATATATATATATATATATATATATATATATATATATATATACATTAATGTCTTCTAAAAATGAGGCGATATCTATATAGATTCATATTATTTTAACATAATCTGGAACATATTAAAAGATTTATATATATATATATATATATATATATATATATATATACATTTGAAATATATTCGTAATATATTCTGGAAGATTGTAATATCTATATATTTTATCTGTACATACAGGCTGCGATGGATAAATTGTCACCATTTTATAATATTAATTTCCCGCATACGCGTTGTTTGTTTTTGAATTTTCCACAGAACAATATAATTGGCTCAGTTGGACACCATCTGTGAGAAAAAGAGCACCATGATGCATTTCCCTCCATCAAAATATTAAAAAGGGCAGGCTGTAACTCTTGGCATTCACGTTGGAATTTCTAATGCGAATATTTCAGAGAGTTTGGGTGCCAATCTGAGGAATTCGGTAAGAGTTGGATGAGTCTAATGATGATTACGAAGATACGGCAACGCTTCAAACTTAATCTCATCGTTCAGATAAAATGTACTCATGAGTTTCTTGATGATGGCCTCAGACTCAACATGGAGCCTTACATCACGTTCCCAGAGGAGGTAATACCTCCTTGCGTCAAGAGGTTGGTTGTTGGTAGACCTTATGTCGGTCAATAGGACTCTGCGCCATGCTATACAAGCAGGAGGACACCGTCAATTTCTGCAACGACGTCACATCATATCTGGCCACCTAACTCCCCAGACTGCAAAGCCTTGTTTATGGGGCGCAGTTGAGCGAGAGACCATCAAAAGTCCTTGTAGTAACAAAGATGTACTGAAGTTCAAGAACTGTTGTAGAATTTACCAACTTAGACAAAGAGAGCGTCCTGAAGATTTGCAGGAGATTTCGAAGTCGTCTCGTGGTTGAAACCAGTGGCGATTCTATTAAATAAATTTATTATTTAGTATTTCAAGATATTTTTGTATAATTTTGGTAAGTGAATCTTTTAAAATTAGAAGTCAGTGTTATTTTCATCACACCCTGTAAATATTATAATATATTCTGGAACATGGTGGTATATATATATATATATATATATATATATATATTCTGGAATTATCGTAATTTCTTTTTTTCTTATATATATTGTCTTTATATCATCTGAAATACAGATGACGTCAGGTAACACACTCACACACACACACACACACACATATATATATATTTGTGTGTGCGTGTGAGTGTGTGTGCGTGTGAGTGTGTGTGCGTGTGTGTGTGCGCACGATCGAGTGTGAGTGTCAATTTATTGTCTTAATATGTATGGTTATATGCATGCGTATAGAAAAGTGATTTTGGGCTCAAATTTCCAATGTAGCGTTACGTTATCTTTCAAACAGAAAGATTGGAATGGTCTGGAAAGGCACTTCGCCTCACAGTAAATGTTAATACCCGGGCAGAACAAGTTCTCTGGCTTTGCTTGACACACAATCAAAATGAAGGAGAACTCTAAATTCTAAATATTGGGGTGGGTAGGATTTCTACCCTGAAAAAAGAAGAGTCCTTTCTGTTGACATCACTCCAGCGCCCCACGTGGTTGGTCTGTAGAATTTCGCATATATATTTTGGGAAATGTATAATTACAGAGAAAATTAATTCGTTTTTTGTGTTCGAATCTATGATGTATTCAATCCATATTCACCTGTTATCAGTTTGGAAAAGTGAATACATCAAAGAAATATACCGTAATTCCCTATATACAATACGCACTCTTTTTTCTAAAAAATATTAAGCAAAATTAGGGTACGTATTATGCACAGCGACAAAAATATCTTCAAAAAATGCCGTCTCATAGGTCGATTCAAATTGCGAAACGACTACTCACCACACATATACGACAAATTGGGACTAACATTCGGCGATGTCAAATACAATCATATATACCTAACAATACTTAGAAATGTAAAATAAAATAATAATTATCATAAAAGTAAATTAGAATAATATTATTGTATGCTTCAAGTTATTTTTCTAGAAAACGATATACACATCTAGTAGATTGCACATTTTATCGAGTTAAAACAGGTTAATGAATCTGCACAGTAAGCACAATATAGATATATCCGTTTCCTTTTAGACTCTTGATGATCGGAAATTTTGATAAATATCCTCATTTACAGCTTGAATAAGAGTAGAAAACGCTGGCCGTAATGAAATTACAGAGGTACAATTTATAGGGTTTCATTTGAAAACATGTGGTACGAAATTATGCGCGAGTAGAAAAATTTTCTCACTTTCAGAACGATTTTAGATGTCCTTATTATGGATGAAGGCGTATTATACATTGTGAATTACAGTAATTAAAACCTTAAAAGATTTCGGCATAAATGAAGATTACATTAAATTTAAGCAAAATGGAATATATATAGAAAAAATGGTGTTACTTTTGACTAAATCCGTTGGCATAGAGTATAATTGTACATACCGTTAGATTCTTTCTTTCATGGAGACAGCACATTTCCTGATCGGTTTCAGTCCTGCGAATATTTTATTTCTTCAACTTATATTCCATAATTATACAAATTGAACTCATATCGCCCTGGTACCGGTTACATCTGATCTTGTTTCTTATTCTATATAACTAAACTAAAATTACAAAATATAATTTTAGAAACTGAATTTTTTTACTGAAATCTGTTTGAAAATGTCAAGCTTTTATCTGAAATAATAAAAATACAAATTTTAAGCAACATGGTCACAGCATATGAAAAAAAAAACTTTTTTTATACTGATGCTCGGAGATGATAATTTTAAAGATTGAATAAGTTAATTCCGAATATATTATTTCTGTGCAGGAGGCAATATTTAATAATAATACCCTTCTGTTGCTAAATAATTTTTTAATCCTTAATACATATTCGCGTTAGTTAGAGTTCTTTTAAATTAATAAGATATGAATGTTTTCATTGGATATTTGGGATCGGGTGAGCGCAAATCTTAATAATCTAACTCCATGCCTGGATGCATATAAAAAATAAGGAAGCTTGGAGAGAGAACGTTACTGCCCACGCAGTTCTCACTAGAATCTAAAGAAAATTCATCTCCTAAATACCTTGACGTGAACATAAATCTTGATCGAAAAACAAATCAAAGATTCGATCCCAAAATCTAATCAATTGCTCATTGATCCATTGACCACTGTTTCGCAAAATTGCCATTTAAATTCCTTAAGATCGATTTGGCGATATTATGTGGACGAGCAGTGATAACTAGAATTCTGCCAACGGCGTTGGTCAAAGTTGAGATTTAGTTATTTCAAGTGGGCACCGATATTGAAAATATGATAATGCAAAAAATCATGTCAATAACAACTGAATGCTGTTCAATAGATGTCCTTACTCCAGCTACCTCAAATTAATAAAGGAAGAAAAAAAGCTTTCATTTTACGGCCCCTATGTTATCTTTCGGATAGAATGGCTGGCTTATTACTTTTATCAAATTTCGCTAAGTATAATTCACTGCTAAATCAGCGAACTCATAATACAAACAAAGATTAAGTTTATTTTCCTCCTGTCTAAAAACTAAGGAAATACAACTACTTTCTTAATTACTCTTATATTGTTCTCTCTCGTTCTTAATGTTTTCTGTTTTCTAATTCTTTCACATCCAGTAAGATCTTGTGTTTTAGTGCCTTTACTGCCTCGCATAAGGTAAATTCGATTTAAATTAAAAAGACAAAAATTGAATCGAGTGAACTGTTCTGGGAAATTAAATACCTTTAAATATATAACATGTGGCTTTGGTTGATTGGAAGTATCGTTACTGTGACATTGGATGATTAAAATTAAGCACCTTCTCCGTAAGCGGCAGAAAGAGAAACTGGAGAAGCATCCCCACGGATAGGGGCAGGCTTGCTGGTTGATCGATGATGCTATTGTCAGCAAGTCTAAAATGGGTGCCAAGCCAAGATAACTCAACCTGTCCTGCTATTGAACTTGTTAAATGTAGTTGGGAGAAGAGACAGATTTTAAGTTGTCCAAGGGAATTTGAGCAGATATGAATGTAACCAACTCGGCTGGAATTTGAACTCGGCTCCACGATTTCTCGTTTCGAGACGCAAACAACACGCCTACATATAGCACCATTAAAAGACGAGAATCCAATATAGATAGATCTTTTTTAATTGCCTTTGATTAATGATAGCAGGCGTCGCTATAATGCAAACATATTTCTAATTTTCTATGATTATATTTAAATTATTAACCATTTTATTCATTTGCTCCGCCATTTTTCAGCACTTTTAATTCTGGGAAAAATGATTTTAAAATAAAATAGTTTAATTCCTTATCATAACACTTTTTCTGAAGCCTATCGTTCACACCAGTATAAACTAATCAATATAATTTATAATCTGATCACTGTTAACAGTTTTCGTTAAATTATCTTTTTATAAGGTTTATGATCTAGACATAGGTTATGCTATCTACACAAAAAAATCTTATTATTAACATTAGGCTTTCATATTAAATGCCGGCATTTTAAAACAATTCCCATCAATTTTCTTTTGGCCCGATGCTTTTACAATTATGTTTGATAAATTGAAAAAATAATTTTGTGAATGGCTCGTTTATAATGTTTCGCTTTTATTAAGCTTATAAGGTCAAACGTCAAGGTGATATAGCCCTGAACCTGGAAAAAGTTTAGGAGAGATAACAAGAAATAAAGAAAATTTACTTAAATCTAAAAGGGATCGAAAATTGCGGAGGTCATGATCGCGAACTTCCAGAAAAACATGGAAAATTAAAGGTCATCTTCAGTATTTATAGCGTCTTTATCTCATCATAATTTAGATATTATCATTGCGTTCATGTATAGCCTCTTATCCTTATCATATTATGTATTTGTTGTCATTATAATCTTTTTAATTTTCAGTATTGTATTGACCTTATCGTCTTAGAATACTATAGACATAACCATGTTCAATGACATAAAAACGATATAAAGACTCAACTAAAAAAGTAGATTTCCTAGATGTTACATTCAACCTCAGAAAAACTGCACACCCACCATATAGAAGACCTAATAACAAATCCTTCTATATACACACATATTCCTACTACACACCATCTATAATCAAACATATCCCACAATCAATTAATCACAGTATATCTTGCATATTTTTCAGTGAAACCATTTTCAAAAAAGCCAAGACTGTGACACTATTTTGTTACTGGTAATCATGAGAAAGATTTATTTAAATAGAAGGAAGGACATACTGACAGACCCCTGATAAAAACAAAAGGAACGATAAGCTGTCAGACTCCTGATAAAAAAGAAGCGTTATTGAATATAACCCGTTGGAAAAATTGAAGATTTTACTTCTCATATAGATAGCCACATGCAATGTGTTGAAAAATGAAAAACATAAGGTGGACGTTCATTTGAACTATGACAGACCAAAAGGGCAACAATGATTGACACTTATTATACACAGATAAAAGTACGAGCTATGAATGTGAAAATTTATTTTCGTAAACTACGAACTTAGAATACATATTTACTGTTTGGAAGGTGACCGAGGTAGCAGGCTCAGATGAGACACCAAGGAAGGTGGAGGCACCACCCACGCTTACTGAGGATTAGTGGAAAATGATAATGAGAGAAAGTGGAAGATATGAGGTTGAGTAATGCCTGTAACCATCACCCATGGAAGAACAGAATTTTCTAAAATTATGAGGTAATTTAATTCTCAGGACCAAGACTATGGAGATAGCCGGCAGGGGGAAACACCGAATTCACCGACTGCGCCGTTCCCCACGCTGGTTTGGGCCAACATAAATAAATGCCTCGAAGCAAGAAAGTAGATATCGTGCAGAGAGTTCGTACCAGCCACCAGTCGCGATACACCGCATGCGATTATCTGCCGACAAGAAACTCTCCATCAATCTTGTGCCGAACTTTACCAAATCAGTATCTGTCTATAATTCTGAGATGATCAATTATGTACACTATTTACATTATTCGGACTATTATCCTAATCTTCGTAGCCATATTTATCACAACATTTCGGCCGTTGTACCCTCCGGTCTTCTTCAGGACACATGACACAGTGGATAAAGACATTAGTTAGATCCAGTGACAGGACCCAAAGAGTGTGTTCAATACCTGGTTAAGGCTGTCGAGAACTTTGAGAGGGAATAAACAGGCGATACCTGATAATTGACATCCATTAGGAATTATCCAGTGCCACAACCAAGATAAATTCTGATTCTGCCAAATGATATGAAACATTGCGAAGAAAAATTGTTTTGCTTATTTCTAGGAATTTGTTTACTTTTTATTTTTCTGTTGAACTTTTGATTTTTTTTTTATCTTCTTGTATTAGTTTTATGTCTTTCCCTCTTTGCGTTATTTCCCTTTCATCTTTTTCGTGGCTTTCATACTAAATTTATTTATTCTTTATTCATGACCAGTTTATCGTTACTTTCCTTTTACGATAACCATTTTGTTGAATATTTTCATGGTTTGTTTTCATTGATTTATTTCTCTCTTTTTATATTTTATTTATTCTTTCTTTATTTCATTCTTTGTTTTATTTATTCATTATTTCCTTCTCTCTTTTATTTCCTTCTTTCTTTTATTCTTTCTGTATTTGATTAATTTCTTTTCTTTCTTTCTTTCTTTTATTCTTTCTTCATTTCAGTCATTCTTTTATTCTTTCTTTATTTCATTTTTTCTTTTCTTTTTCTTTACTTCATTGTTTCTTTTAGTCTTTCTTTCTTTTTTATTCTTTCTTTATTTTATTCTTTCCTTTATTTCCCTCTTAATTTTATTCTTTCTTTATTTGATTAATTTCTTTCTTTCTTTTATTCTTTCTTCATTTCATTCTTTCTCTTAGTCTTTATTTCTTTTAGTCTTTCTTTATTTCATTCTTTCATGTATTTCACTCTTCATTTTATTCTTTCTTTATTTGATTAATTTCTTTTCTTTCTTTTTCTTTCTTTCTTTCCTTTCTTTCTTTCTTTCTTTCTTTCTTTCTTTCCTTTCTTTCATTCTTTCTTTCTTTCTTTCTTTCTTTCATTCTTTCTATCTTTTATCCTTTCCTTACTTCATTCTTTCTTTTATTTTTCTTTTCTTCATTCTTTCTTTTAGTCTTTCTTCCTTTTTTTATTATTTCTTTATTTCATTCTTTGTTTTATTTATTCTTTATTTCATTCTTTCTTTTATTCTTTCTTTTTTCTTTCTTTCTTTTATTCTTTCTGTATTTGATTAATTTCTTTTCTTTCTTTCTTTCTTTCTTTCTTTCTTTCTTTCTTTCTTCCTTCCTTAGAAGCAGGTTGGGATGATGATTGTTTGCATGGGAACTCTTGATTTAACCATTTACTGTACGAAGGACTTGATATGAAAATAGTATTTATTTTTTTATTTATTTATTTGAGTGTTGACTTGTTACACTCATACACAACACAAAAATGTCACAGGAAAACAAACACCACATAGTTGAACCCAACGTGCAAAACCTAAATATAAAAAACGTAAAAAAAATAAGAAAAATATTCGAATTGATTGAATAGAGGTGGATTTGCTGTTATTCTGCACACTCTTGCACAGTTTCCCATATTCTTTATAACCAAACTTGCGAGATGCAAAACGTAAGAGCAAACAGTAACTTGAGGACACACTTGCACTCATTACGAGCAGAGACAAAGAGACGTCTGTTGCATTCAGACATGTCACTCCGTTACAGATCGAACAAGTGATTTCTATTGGCTATAGTATCTAAGCAAGCAGCTGAGAACCAAGGAGATGAGAGCGATTTAACTTTATATTTTCTTGCTGGGATGAAATCCTCGATGTCAGTTTTTATCCAGGAGGAGATATCACACATCATATTTTTGAACGGGGTGATTAAAAACTACCTTCCAAGGGATGTCGCGAAAGAAAATCATGGAACGATTCCTAATCTAAACGTTGGTAACAGGAATGAGGTTATTAGCTGGATGAAGAGTGGAAGCCGATGTTAATAGACACTACGCCATGTCCAGAGTTGCCAAGTGGGAAGATCTGCGTAGCGCGACAAGATACAGGGATGAAGATAAAACAGAGATCGAGAAGGGAAGCTTTACCGTCAAGGTTACTGGAGAAAGGTGTAGGAAAGACGAGCAATTGCGTCAGGGTCTGAGTGATTAAAAAGTTAAGGGACTGGATGCTAGCGTGGTCAGTTACAGAGAGTTTAAGCGTTATGGTATGCTGGGTGTTAAATTCACCGAACACGAATGTAAACAAATGTAGAGAGATGGTCTTGTCTATAGTATCGGGAATGCTATCGAGTACACTGCAGTCTTGAGAGGAAGAGGAACAATAGAAAAAGAAAAGAAGAAATAACTTACTGAATTCAGGAGCGGTAGACAGAGATACTTATGCAAATGATCTGGAGATTCCAAAGAGAGTTCCCTATCCAGCGGGAGATGATCGCGGACATGGACCCGGCGCGAATGCCAAGCTGTACAGTATGGCGTTTCCAAATTTCTGGCAGAGTGAATTAAGTCATGGAGTTCATTTTTCACAGACCGTGCCTAACTGACTTTACTGTGCATTCGATGAAATCAAACACAAAAAGCAGGCATGCGAGGAATTAAAAATTAAAAGCCCACAATTTACTCATCGCATCCTATACATGTGTGTGCGAGTTTGTTTATCTCTCTCTCTCTCTCTCTCTCTCTATATATATATATATATATATATATATATATATATATATATATATATATATGTTGGAGTTTTTTGTGTATATGTACTAGTGAGTTAGCCCAAATGACTTGACTCACTTTATAGTCCACCAATAGAAGGTTAACCAATCAGAAGACGTAGAATATTCAATCCGTCGTGTA